GTAATGTCGTTACCATGATTTTCTGGGTTATTAAATCTTGTTATTGCGAGAATACATACAAAAATCTTCCTTATTATTATTTTTTTTTAAATGATTCCCCTTTTATGATATTACTTTGAGCGACATTTTACTCAAATAATAGAAGGTTTGATAAATCATAATGTGTATTCATTTTTTTGTTTATATGTTTTACAAATGATAAATTAAGATCTAAATGCAATAAAAATGTTATGTTTTTTCACTAGGATTTCGTAATACTTAATCATTTATGTAATTCGGTCATCATTTGAATGCAAACTATTCACGAGGCCCTAGTATTGATATTGCTCACTTTATTGAAATGAATAGTACCGGATACACTGATAAAATTTATGGAAAGAAAAACGCATTGAGGCCAATTTGATCTTTGAACAAACAACCCATAAAGTTTTCGTAGCTCCCTTGCAAAAAATATTCAATCATGGAGTCTGGTTTCGTTAGAATTGATGCATCTTTTTAATCTACTTATCCTATTTATTTGAGCCTTGTTGTACAATGCAAGAAGTGGGGCGAAACACTGGGAAAGACGCCAAAACAAAACGAAATACATTTTCACGTCTCAAATTATATCGATTCATCTTTTGTTCCTTTGTCTGTGTCTGAGTTTGAGTAACGGCCGCTTTTACGAGCTTAGGGTAATGATTTAAAAATGAATCGCTATGTTGCTCTGCTGAACAATTACAACGTGCGACCATTAACATTTATTTATGCCTCTCTCATACTAAATGTATCATTTGCTTCTTGAATAGAAAAGAAGTTAAGTTTTGAAATGGAATGAAAAATTAAAAATTACTGGTACAATGCTCAAATTTAGAAAAATGAACACATTTTTTTTTATGATATGCTTGTATTAAAAAATTAAAACACAAACAACAACAGCAAAAGTTATGGGAAAAAAAACCGGTTAAAACTAAGTAAATTTTAATTTTAAGAATTGTGGCATTTCTTTCCCAGGAGAGAGAAATGTATGTTCTTTGAAAAGTACCTAATAACAAACTATCACTCAAATTTGACAGCAGATAACCAGTGTCATGCATAATGAGATTTTGTGAATTGCGCTGTTGTCTGTGCGGGACCTTCACAGGTCGAAACAAATACAGATGGGATAGGGAATACACCATGAGTTTTTGCATCGTGATGGGTGATGGACCATGAGCTGAGAAAATGTCGACTCTAATGAGAAGTGAGGGAATGAGGAAGCTGCCCCCCCCTCCTTGACTGATTTTATTAAAGGGAGATTTTTAGAGAAGAAAGAGTTCTGCAACGAGTCGACAAGAAGTGTTGTTTTTCTCTTTTTCTCTGAAATGACAGAAAAAAAGCCGGAGTTTCCTCCTGTTTTCAAAGTGAGCCCCTTGTAATTTCGTGTATCACGCTGTATGAGAATTAAGTTCTGTCGCAGACCAAGCAGTTAGATTCGTCGCAGAGTCAAGAACTCTGAAAATCTCCGTCCTTGGAGTAAATTGCACATGCGAATCAAATTATTTTTAATTTTCATTATTTTTTTGTGTATAGAGTTCTGTATATATAAATACATATAATGCTCGTAAACAAAAATTAAAGTGCTCCCATGAACCTGAAAGTGGCCCTCTTCTTGAAGCCGTTATAGGTCTGGTATAGGACGAGACGTTACAATATTAAAGGGAGTAAAATAATGATAGATTCCCAGTACCTATTAACTGCCATTGTTTACGTGGTATTGCTATCAAAATGCTTCACAATCATAACTGACAGTTAAAATAAGGTAGGTAACTAATAAACCCCATCGATAGGTGAATGATGGCCTAGAAGGATGAATTGGATGAGGAAACTGTGTTACCTGAATGAAGACGGTGAAGAAGACGAGGGCGATGATGGTGGTGACCATCATGTTCTTGGTGGGGATGATCCTGTCCGAGACAATGAGCACCAGGGCGAAGGCCACGGCACCCCTCAGGCCCCCGTAGGCCAGAATGAACTGCTCCACCTTGTCGATGCGGTGCATCCGGAAGCGGTTGGCCATGGCAGTCAGGATGATCACCCCTACGAAAAAAATTCCAATTTTAGATGGACATGGAAGTGTTTTTTTTTTTTAAACTACAAAATATCAATCGTTTACATTGCATATTCAGTGCAGATTGGGTGATTTGTCCCCTTTAAAATTTGCGGACAGGAATATCTAGTTTATACATCGAATAAAAATTGATGTTAATCGCATAAGCAAAGGCTGCAGCAACGTTACTCACTTAGCACTACCCAGAGGGTGCGTGTAGCTTGAAGATAAACCACGGACGCGGAGTAACACTACCCCCGTAACGCTCTACAACTCGACCATCACGCCCACACACAAATATATATATATATTTGTGTGCCTATGAGGTCACAAAGCCTATATATGTATATAAGCCTATATATATATATATATATATATAGGCTTGTTATAGCTTTTGTAGAACAAAATACAGTTTGACGAAATATTATCTGAAGTCATTGTTATGTTACAATGTTGTCAGTTTCATTTTCGTTTTAAATAAAGTATTAATCTGTCAACCGTAATGTTTTATTCTGTATCATGTGATTTAAGATCTTGGTGATGCATTTTACGCTAGCCATAATGGGTAAACACTTTTTAATGCAAGACGAGTGCACAGAAATCCCCGCCAAAGAAATATACTCGGCGGAGTGGCGCAGCAGAAATTGGCCAGAATTGGACAAGGATTCCAGTTATTGCCCGTGTTGTAGAGTGACTCAGAATTGCAAGTAAATTCCCGCCATCAAAATTTAAAGAAGCATGACCGGAATTTTGACTTGGCTAACCACAAGAAGAGCTGCGATATGGTCATTTGCTAAAAGTGGACAATTATTTAATTAATTAAAATATTATTATTGATTTGAATTGTTTTTCTTTTCGCTCTGATTCCGGGAATTTGAGTTCCCCATCTTGTGAATGGGATAATAATTGCCCGAATGTAGAAGTGAAGGGCATCACGAGCTTCCCGCCATTTTGTGGTGCTTTCTATAATGGTTTGGTCATTATCTTTACGGTCATCTTGTGCCCACTTTAGGCTAAATAGACCGAGACTTACAGCTAAAAGTGGATTCTGAACCACTCACAAACATCCATGTCACCGCCAGGATTCCGTCGTGAAGCTTTTGTACTAACTGTTGGCCAACAGGCGGCGCTTTTTATAATGAGCCTCAAACCATCGCTTTCGTGATTCAACCAAATTACAAAAAAAGATACGGCCAGAATGGCCGAGTAGCTAGCGCTCTGGCACTAGGTACCACAGATATCGGGTTCGAATGCCGGCTGTGACATGGATGAATGTTAGTGATTCGGAATCCACTTTAAGCCGTAGGTCCCAGACCTAATAGCATCGTAGAGCACTGTGGGGGTAGTGTTACTCCGCGCGTCCTTAGCCTATCTTCAAGCTACACGTGCCCCCTAAGTGAGTAACAGCAGTGCAGTCCTTGCTTATGGCATAAGGATTAACTGTCTCTGTATTGCTAGCTGTAGTAGAACAACAACAGCGGAAAAAAAACAATTGACGAGGACACTGGATAAGTATAATTATCATGCATTGTTTTTCCCTCGGTCCAGTGACATCTGTTCATAATTACTGTTTTCATCCCCGTTCAGTAACGCATCCCTTTTGGGCATTCGGCTTCTTCCTCAGATTTCCGCTCATCCATCCGAAGTTGATGGATGGACAATGGTTCACAACTTCGGCTGTCAAAAAGCAGTCGACAAGTAAACATTATAGGACTTTTGATTCAACAAAACCGAGGTCCTGAACTCATAAAGCCCAAACAAATTAAACCAGATAATTATAGTCATTTTGAAATTAAAGAGAACATTTGGTTGTGTGATGGGCGGAAAAGCAAGTGGACGGAGTTTCAAACATAAAAAAAAACCATTCAATATGTTTATGCAATTCCGGCATTTATAATTTTTTTTAATGCAAACTTGATCCTTTAATTTGTAAACATATTAAAACGCACTTTTCGAACTTCAGACATTTTTTTGTGAGGTGGCTAATTTTACTCGCGTCCATAGCTTACTTCAAGCTACAGGTGCCCCCCCGGTAGTACCAAATGAGTAACAGTTCTTGAAAGATTGGAGCTAAGTTTGCAGCTCAAGAGCTCAATAACTCAATAGTTTGAGCCACAATAGCTGCCACAGCTGCAGTTTGCAGCTGTGGCAGCTATTGAGGCCGTACCATTGGGTCCAAAAAGTAAGACTGAAATTCCCTGGAATTTCAAAATTCAATTTAAAATTCCTTACGGAATTTCAATTTTGGCACTGTCCTTAACATCTGTGTGAAATTTGACGTCAAAATATTCATTAGTGTTGGAGTTGCTCTTGGTTTTGTGAGACGCCAAAACTGATTCCGGCGAAACTGATTCGGTCTGATTGAATTGAGCAAAGAACTTGCATTCAATTTTGTTTGCGGAAACGTATAGAATATTGCAGAAGGCATTCGGTCAGCATTCCTGTATCGGAAAGAAATGTTTACAAGTAGTACGAACAGTTCAAAGAAGGCAGATAATGCGTTGAAGACTAAGAGCCCTCGGGTCGACCCTCCACCTCATCCGACGAAGCTCACGTCCTCAAACGCGTCACATCTCGATGGGTACCGAAAACACTGAATGTGCCAGCTCACACTGCGTTGATTCTTCGTGACTTTTTCGCCAAAAGTGAAACGTATATCGTTCCACAACCGCTGTATTCACACAGTGCGACTGCTGGCTGTTCCCTAAATTCAAAAGAGTCGGATGAAGAGATTCAACGCTCGCTTTGAAGGTCATCCCTGTCGATGACTTCTAAGCATGCACTGGGGATTGGAATAAAAGTTGGCATAAGCGCATTGTGTCCGGATGGGATTACTTTGAAGGCGGTGAAATAAATTTGGAAGAATAAATAAAGAGTTTTTGAAAAAAAAAAATTGGTCTTCCTTTTTGGCCATGGTAGTAGAGGGTTTTGCTCCTCGGTTGTATAGTGGTAAGTATACCCGCCTATCACGCGGGAAACCGGGGTTCGATTCCCCGCCGGGGTGCTAGGGCCTGATGGCCGAGTGGCTAGCTCTCTGGCGCTCGGTACCACATGTATCGGGTTCAAATCCCGGCGTTGCCATGGGTGTTTGTAGTGGTTCGGAATCCACTTTAAACCATAGGTCCTAATAGGATAGTAGAGCGTTGCGGGGGTAGTGTTACTCCGCGTCCGTCGCTTTTCGTCAAGTTACACGCGCTCCCTGGGTAATGCGAAGTGAGAAACGTTTGTGTAGCCCTTATTGCATAAAAAGATCATGGTGTATTTGCCAGCCGCATTAGAAAAAAAAAGTATAGGATTTTGCACTGGAATCCCGGTGGGATGTCACAGCAAAGAAGGTTGAACTCGAGAATATTTGTCGCGGTTACTGTTTGTTTACATGTGTTACTGTTTGTTTATGTGAGTTATTGTTATGAGTGACTGTTTTGCTGTTCTGTAGTCCATCTTTATGCTCCAAAGTCATGCATCCCAGATCCATGGGGGCCAATGAGGTAAAATCAAGTGTTTTGCAGTAATAATAATAAAAAAAAAAACGTGCTTCAAAAATCAGCAGCAAAAAACAATCCACAATTTTACATTATTTAAAAAAAACAATTGTAAATGGAGTATATAAATAACTTTTAATTAAACGTTTTTTTTGAAAATTTTATGTTTTTTTTTATTGATACTAACTCAATAATCCACTAACTCAACCCACTGTGAGTATTCTGTATTTAATTGATTTGAACTAAAAGTGAAAAAGACGTGGTTCAAGTATGTTGCTTTGTTTCAAATCCAAAATGACTTAAGAACAGAATGACAACAGACTTAAAAAACAAACCAACTGTTTTTTTTTAAATAAAATCCTACGCATGCTTACCAATAAAAACAATAATAAAAACAATAAAACAAATAAACAATAAAAACAACATAAAAATTAACTCAATAGATCTAAATGTGAGTATTCTATATTCAGTGACGGATTTAAGCTTGGGCCTATTTTTAGGGGGACCACATTTTTAGGGGCGCCAAAATTTTCGAGGCGACAAATATTTGAAATCGATTTTGTTTTTTATCAACTGTACTATAAGATCGAATTTGAATGCTTCTTTTCTTGCTTTGACAATCTGAAGATGCCAATATTTAAAGAGTAGAATTATTTTTTAAAATAATGAATCGTGTAAGTAGTCAAATTTAAAATATCTAACAAATGGGTACAAAAAAATTTTTCGTTAAGTATAGCGTTTATCTATTGACCATCATTACTATTCGTATTATTATTATATATAAGGGCGTCAAATTAACTTGGGCCTAGGGCGCCATCGAAACTAAATCCGTCACTGTCTATATTTAATTGATTTGAGCTAAAACAAAAATGACGCGGTTCAAGTACGTTGCTTCGTTTCAAAACCAAAATGATTTGCTTACAGACTTAAAAAACAAACCAACTGTTTTTAAAATCCTACGCGTGCTTATCAATAAAAATAATAATATAAACAATAAAACAAATAAACAATAAAAACAACATAAAAATTAACTCAATAGATCTAAATGTGAGTCTTCTATATTCAGTGACGGATTTAGGCTTGGGCTTAGGGCAGATTCTTAGGGGTGCCAAAATTTTCGAGGCGATAAAAATTTGAAATAGATTTTGTTTTTTTATCAAAGTGTAAGAGCGAATCATAATGCTTCTTTTCTTGCTTTGACAACCTCAAGATGCCAATAGAGAGTTTTTGAATACCGTATTTTGGACGTCCGTTAACTTTTTCACCCTAGTGCGCATGCTCATAGGAAACATTATTACAGATACGCATGCGCAATTGAGAAAAAGCTAACGGACGTCCAAAATACGGTATGCAAAAACTCTCTAATATTTATCTATTAAAAATATCTAACAAATAGGCACTAAAAAATTTTTCGTTAAGTATAGCATTTATCTATTGACCATCATTACTATTCGTATTATTATTATATATAAGGGCGTCAAATTAACTTGGGCCTAGGGCGCCATTGAAACTAAATCCGTCACTGTCTATATTTAATTGATTTGAGCTAAAACAAAAATGACGCGGTTCAAGTACGTTGCTGCGTTTCAAAACCAAAATGATTTGCTTACAGACTTAAAAACAAACAAACAAACATGTTTTATTTTCCACGCAAACATGTTTAGTCCCACGCATGCTCACCTATGGTCCTGTAGACGGTGCAGAAGAAGATGGTCATGACCACGAACCAGGTGTTCCACTCGTGGTTGTCGTTGACCGTGGACACGCCCAGGAAGAGGAAGATGATGGTCTCCGAGGAACTGGCCAACATTTTCATGGCGTACTTCACTGTCACGTGACTCTTGTAGGAGATATTTTCTTCCACGTAGTTCTTCATCGTGATGCCGCAGAAGGTGAGGCTGCCAGAAAGACACGAGGAAATGTATCAATAGGTGGCTTATATAAAAATCTAAATGTGCTAGAACTTGTTTTAAAATAGACTTGAATCAATGATATACTAATCCTTGAATTAAGTCCATTTAAAAATCGTAATTATAGAATAATATTTTAAATAGATATTTTTTTCTTCTTTCTAATGCAGCTGGCAAACACAGACAGCTTGGTATTGGATGCCTTAAGGCAAGTGCTGCAGAGACGTTACTCACTTTGCATTACCCAGAGGGCGCGTGTCACTTGAAGATAAGCTACGGACGCGGAGTAACAATGCCCCCGCAACGCTCTACGATCCTATTAGACCGGGACCTACTTTTTAAAGTGGATTCCGAACCACTACAAACAACCATGGCACCGCCGGGACTCGAACCCGAAACCTGTGGTGCGAGCGCCAGAGCATTAGCCACTCGGCCATTCAGGCCCTTTTAAATAGATATCGAAATCAGATAAAAAGATTTGACAAAATTAAAAAGTAAACTACTACTGTGTCCAAAAAGTAACACCAATTTTTAATTTTCCTTTTTTTTTTTTTTTTACTTTTTCGCCCAAACTGAAATCCATATGTTTCCACAACCACCGTATTCACACCGATCAACTTCTGACTATTCCCTAAACTCAAAATACCATTCCGGGGACACCGTTTTCAGTCGATTGAAGAGATTCAACCGCGCGCTTTGAAGACCATCTTTGCCGGTGACTTTTTAGTATGCATTGAGGATTGAAAAAAAAATTGGCCTAGGTGCATTGTGTCCGGAAGGGATTACTGTGAAGGCGATGAAACAAATTTGGTAGAATAAATAAAGAGTTTCTTTGAAAAAAAATAATTGGTCTTACTTTTAAGGCACAGTAGTACATGCATTTCTTTAAAAAAATTTTGAATTTAATCATTAAAATACTATATAGGTAAGCTTAATAGTTAAAATAAAATAATTGTGCCGATATTACTAAGCATAATAAATGGTGTTTCGTTGAACATCTTCAGTGAGAAAGCTTACTTACAGTCGCCATCCGAACAGCTTTCATGGCAAGCTTGCGTTACAAAATTCATTATTATTGAAGTTCATTTCAAAAACAGTCCAAGAACAATGCCTATAAGCCATTTATACAGAAACACAGAAAAAAATAATCTGTGACTGACGTGGAAAAATCCACTTTATTGATACGAGAACGTCCAAAAGGTAATATGCCATTTGATTTTGTAGTATGCCATTTGATTTTGCTAAGCATAAAAACCTATTTTAATCAGGCATATAATAATGATTTTTTGGTCTGATTTTACTAACGTGTTAAATACACTGGTTTCCAAACATCAAGGCAGGTCTAGGAATACTAGGATTACGAATTTCTATCCATTAGAAATTGATTCAATTTCGTAATGATATTATTGATTGAAAAAATTAGGCATAAAAGAAAAACACTAGATTTATTTTCTGTCTTATAAAATACACAAAATGTAAACAGATAAAAAATACCAACGGGATATCTGATTTCAATATGCGATCACTTCTAGCAGATCTAAAAGAACGGCAGCGATGTTCCATGCCTACAATTATGGGTTTCATGATCATCATGATGGTTATTGTGATACCATCATGGTATCATTATGATGGTATAACAATGATAGTATCAATGACACAACAATCCTATTGTTGTGTCATTCTGAATTCTTAAACCTTGATGAATTGCAAGGGGCGTGATAATCAATCCAATCCTACATAGGCACTAGAGTATCCCAATGTGCTATATTGGGTTCAAGTTCAGAGCAAAAGAACGCGATGGGCAATCCCTGCATTTCCACCCATCAAGATCTGTGCGTCTAAGTTTATCATTTCGTAGGATGAAAAAGTCACCAAATGGACATGCTCCAAATGGATCAAGAATACTGTCTCTATATAATTGAGCAATAAAGATGTCTCTTGGTCAATATACATGCCAATGCGGCCATCCAAAGAGATATATGCTCACACACATGCAATGAATCCTGCTAAATCTGTCTCTTTTATGGACATAGCCGGGGTTACAGCGATTTTCGGCTATCGTGACAATTACGATTGATATCTATACAAATTACGATTGATATCTATGTCCAATTTCTGTATGAGGGATGTAACACACTGGTGGATATCTTGCATGCAATCTTCCTTTATGAAACTTGCCCACTGCTGATCTGGATACCAGCCTTCCAGTGGCTTCTACTTGAAAAGATTTGAGGTGAGTTGATTCTGGACCTCTTTGAAGTTAGCTGTCTTTGTTATGCCATCAAAATGAAGAGGAAATGCATAAAGATTCATATTTAACCCTCTTTGCTACATAGGCTAAATTATTTTTCCTATTGGCTTGACAGCCTAATTCTTTGGATAAATGACGTATACTCCTAACTAAACATCGCTAAGGTGCTAACGCTTTTAGTGCCTGTTTCCGACCATGTGTCCAATGACATTAAACGATACCATCTCCATTAATTTGCAAATTACATTACAATGCAGCATTGCTTTTTTATATATACTGCGAAATTTTTATGTGTTCTCAGTACATGTGTTTGTCACTGAACTCCTCCTAAATAGATGGACCGACTTTAATGAAATTTTTT